CGCTGATCCACGGTTCCGGCTCTTTAGTGACATCTCGGAGTGCTTTAAAAAGGAGTTGGTAACTTCCCAGCTACGTATCTTTGAAAGCCATTTTCAATACCAACCATTAATAACATGCAATTAAATTTTAAAAAATAGACATTAAGGATATGAACGCTTAGCATCAATCTCAGTTTACTGTGAGGAAGAGAGTAGAAATCTCCAAATACTCCAGAGTTTGAGATGTTTGGCTTTCAGTTCAAAGACTTCCTTTAAGTTTAAGGCAGAAAAACATGTAATTCCTTCTCAGTGGCAAGTTAAATTTCTTTCTGGCTGATTTTGAGCTATTACATGGAATAACAATGTATAGACAGACATCAAGGCAGTTAGGAAGACAACCGTGGTAAATTTACAGCCTAGTAGATTATATGCTGCCTGCATACCTACAGACTTGGAAGGGCAGGAAGTCTCTGACAACAGAATTTGAGCAAGCCCAGTTTTAATGTGGTTCAGGTAATATCAGGACTGTGAATTGCATGAAGTACTTTAGTGTAATTAAATGCTTTTCCCCAAAATCTCTTTTAAGTTCAAAAGCCCTTTAATATTCTCTTCATATACATTCTCTTTTACTGGCTACATGTGCCCAGTTCTACCATTAGCTCAGGTGGACATTAATTGCTAAATTTGATCCAGGAATTGGTAATTTTATAATTAGCTAAATTAATGATTTTTTAAAAGATTTACAGAGATTCAGAAGGTTGAAATAAAAAGCATCAGTTTCTGTAATGCAGTAATTGTCACAAACCTTACCTTGCTGTGTGCCAACATTACAATATTCTATAACTTAAGTCAAAGGAATCACACATACGAGTAGCATTATGTGAAAATGGATCTTCATGAACTTACTGTTTTCATCATCTGCTCTAGAGAGCATCTGGAGAGTCCCTCACTTCTACCTTTTTTAGTGAATGATGTATGACAGAGTTTCTCAGTGTGGCCCTGAAAGTGCAAAATCCTTAAAATACAGCTTTGATCCAGCACACCTCATATACCTTTGGTACATTTTCCCTTACAAGGAAACTTGGAAGTGACTGTAGCCACTATAAAACTCTGGCCAAATAAAAGAGCAAAAAACCTTACATAACTTTAGAAACAGAAAACCAATCTAACAGAACTTACCTCCTCCTCCTTTCCACAAGGCAATGTTTTCCTCCAGATCCAACAATGAGTTTTCATTTCCTCCAATTCCACAAAGGTCTCAAGTCTTGAAGAGGCAATCACCAATTTGCTTCCATTTAGTGTTAATGTCACTACTGTGGGCAATAAATTTAAAATAAAATGTGAAATATTGCATTTCCACCCATGGTCATACTTTCCTTTACACTTCACTGAGGAACTCCCATGCTGGAACACTTCACATGTACAAATCTCCAGTTAATTGCCAGCTACTCAAAGTAAGGAAGAACTTAAAGCACTGCCAAGTTTCACAGCCTATATATCTTAAATGTATATTAAGAGCAGAATTATGAGTTTCAGTCACTTGGGATCCTATGACTGGTCTTTAAACTGAATAGAAATGAAAAGTAGTGAGGGAAAGACACACAGACTCTTGTGAAAGCTCTAATCATGTGGGAACTGAACTTGTACTTTACTAAATACACATATATATTCATGTCTGAGAAGAATCTTGGTTGAGGAATTAATCCTGTAGTGCCTAATACAGTGTGAGCTATGACTAAAGCACTTCTGGTGAGTAGATTATGTAGAACAGCTTCTCTCTTTCTAGATTTTCTTATGTCCAACAAGACCTGAGCTCATGATACAGCTTTTCCTGAAATTATAGTATTAAGAACCTATCTTCCTCTAATCACACCACTTCTTGCACAAGCTTAATGAAAAATCCATTTCTTAATGCCTCTTCGTCTCCATCAAATTTGACTGAACTTGGTGAAGTGAAACACAAATATGTAGAGGATGAGTATGTAAGCCTGGCTTCCTTGGGAAACTAGCAAACACCAAAACAAAAACATCCCTGTGTTCATTTCCCAAAACACGCAGCTCAAAAGGCACTTTGCTTGTGGGGACTGGTTATGCTGCACACTTCTATGCCAAGTAAATGCTCTACTAAGCCTGAATTGTAATGCTAATTCACATGGTTAAATCTGAGGTCCAAAACCTATTGCATTGTTTGTTTATATATATATAAACCTGGCTTCTGGGTACACTCTTGGTCAAGAACTGTCCAGGAGAGCCTTGGTGCTTGGAATGCCATTCCCTCTCTTTGCTGCAATTGGAGCATGATTAGATGCCAAGAAAAATGAAATGTGTTTACTTTATGGCTTTACTAAATGGCCCGAACTGCCATTTGAATACAAATCTGCATTAAGATAAAAAGAAGTGAGTTTTAAGTCGTAAGTGATAAGTCAGAGTTACACAATTTCAAAAAGAATTTATTATCCCCGTACTAGGACCAGATGATGATTTATATGATTTATTTGCCTCTTTCCTTGATGTTATTAATTTGACTGAAGTCTGAATTAAAAGTTAATGGTCCTAAGTATTAACTGAAAACATGGTAGTCCATGAATATTTAGGTAATCTCAAAAAAAAAAAAATGTAGTAACAGACCAGAATAAAGCAAGTGACACAGATGAAACTGTAGCTGCTGTGTGTTACAGATCATTTGGTCTGACCCTTTTGCCAGTGAGCCTGTAGCTGAAGTTTTAAATACCTTAAATTGGTGACAAAACACTCAAAAAGGAAATTAGGAGTAAAAAATTAGGGTGATACAAGATGAAAATCAATAGGAATTGCAAATATAACTGAGTAAACTATTTAAATACAACATAGGCACATTTCTTATATGTGCAGTGTAGAGTTAAGTAAGTGGATTTTTACTGGACTTCAGGTAGCAATAAAAAGACACTTAATATCTGGGATTTAGTTATCTCATTATATAGTAAATATGATATATAAAATATATTTTATATAATATATTGTATATTATATATTCTAAACATATAATCAGCTCATACCTTCCAGAAAGTCTGCACAAATCCAGAGTTTGGCGCTGTTTTTTGCACTCCTAGTTACCTGGCAGTTGTATCCAAAAGAATAGTTTCTTACTGTATGATTGGGCAAAAAAATAAATTTTGTAAGCAAATAAAGGAGAATTAAATGGGAACAAGACATAATGTTGCAATTTTTTTTAAAGAAAATGCAGCTTGCATTTTAGAAATATTTTTCATGTATATAAACTTTGTGTAATGAGGCGGAGACAAAAGTGTAACAAGAACCTATTTTCACCTTTCTATTGTTTATTGCATGCATTTTGATGACCACATAACTGTATGTCAGACAAGGAATTTAACAGGACAGTTTCTGAATGTCTTTTTTAAGTGACTTTTTAAAGTGACTATTCAGTAATGCATCTTGCCTGCATTACTGAATCACAGAATCATCGAGGATGGAAGAGACCTTCAAGATCCTCTGCCATCAACCCAGCAGCACCATGACAGGAGTCAGCTCAAGCTGCTCTCAGACCAAGACCTGCCCTGCTGAGTAGGGCTTGGGGGAGCTGGTGGAGGGGAGGCTGGACATGACCCAGCAATGGGCACTCCCAGCCCAGAAAGCCAAACGTGTCCTGGGCTGCATCCAAAGCCCTGAGGGCAGCAGGGCAAGGCAGGGGATTCTGCCCCTCTGCTCTGCTCTGAGATCCCACCTGGAACCCTCCATCAGCTCTGGGGCCAGCACAGGAGGCACAGGGACCTGGTGGAGAGGCTCCAGAGGAGACCATCAAGAGATGAGAGAAATGGAGCACTTCTCTTGAGGAAAGGCGAGAGAATTGCGTTTGTTCACAAGAAGAGGCTTTGGGGTGACCTAACTGCAGCCTTCCAGTACCTTAAAGGAACTTACAGGAAAGATGAACAACAGTATTTATACGAGCATGTAGTGCCAGGAGAAGAGGAAACGTGTTTAAATTGAAAGAGAACAGGTTTATATTAGCTATTAGGGAAAAAAATTCTTTGCTGTGATGGTGAAGAGGCACTGGAACAGGTTGCCCAGGGAACCTGTGGATGCCCCACCCATGTTCAAGGCGCGGGATCGCTGGAAGTAGATGATCTTCAAGGTCCCCTTCCAAGCCAAACCATGCTAAGATTCTTACTATGGAAACTATAGGAACAGCAATAGAATCAAACCCACTCTGAGTAAACCCGTACTTATTATAATAATAATAAAATATATATATATAAATTAAGCACGGTTTGTGCCTTACAGAGCAGCCGACTGCAGGCGGGTCAGCCACACTCGGGAGGGCGCCTGAGGGAGCCCCTGCCGGCAGCGCCGGGAGCAGCGGCAGCCGAGCCCCGGGGGCCCTGGCACCGGGCTGGCCCGCGGCAGGGACTCCGGGAGGGGATGGCGCGGCCAGGCCACACCGGCTGCCCCTCTGCTGTCCCCGCTCGGCCCGGCCCGGCCCGGCCCGACCCGCTGGCATTTTGCGGAGCAGCGGCGTGCAGGTGACACGGGGCACCGGCCCGGCCGGGCCCTGAGCGCTGCTCCGGGGCGAGGACGCGCGGCGCTTTCCGCTCCTGGGCGGAGCAGCGCCCCGGGGGCTGGGAGGGGCGAGCGAGCGGCTCGGAAAGTTAAAGCAGCCCTAATTAAAGATCGATTTTTAAAGAAGCCTCGGTGTAATTGGTTCAAAAACAGCTGCATTTTTAGTGGTTGTCCTTCCAGAGCTCTAGTCACACATCCTCACCACGTAACTCTGCTTGCCCATTTGTCTCGAAAGAGTAAGCTTTGTGTTTCCTAGCAAACTAAAACGCCAGAGATTGTTACACTAAAGGTGCAGAATATTTGGCTGTTTGCATTACTAGGTCTCCAGAACAGTTTTTAAAGTGGTATCCTGTTACAGATGTGCAAGAGCTGAGCTATTGCTTAGGTCTTGTATGTGATATGTTAAGTCTGTAGCCGACGTTAGTTTGATTGCTATTTGTATCTGGTTTAGGTTTGAATCGCTGGTAATGCCATCACCACTGGCAAATGCAGTGGAAGAGGGCAAGGTTGAAGATGTCCAGGATATTCTATGACTGGATGTGTGAGGCTGTTTATACACAGCCAGGCGCGAGTCTCTGCACCGCTTAAAGGATTCCATGGCGCCCATGTTTAGTGGACACTTTTCTCTGAAAGTGCATGAATCAGGTAAATACATTGAAGCTCTAAATATCACATTCTGATCATGGAGCTCTCTGGCAAATAAATGCTTTTAAATATATTTATGCATTTTTTAGTATATGTTTTCCCAGTTTGCTAAGCATCAGTCGGCTTCTAATTCCAGGTTGTAAAACAATTCTGCATGCATGACTTTATATGTATAGGTAGTTCATCTGAATTCCACAAGTCTATTTGTGCTTGCAAACACACACATTTGTACAGTGCCATGTCCCTGTCCAAACTGTGGCTTTGGAATATACTTCTTCAGTAAGAAGACAAAAATAGATAAAACTGAAGTTGGCAGAGTGTTTGGCATTTATCTTGAGTCTGTCTGTGAACCCCTATAATCTCCAGAGGCATCTCATTCCCTCTGTTCATTACATAAAGAGATTTGGGTCTGACCTTTGTTTCAGACAGTAAAAATTGCATTTTTCACCACCATGGCTTGATATAAAAGTTTGAATAAAACTATTCATGGGTCAAATTTCAAACTTGTTTGTGACTTAGAAATCCTGCCAAAGTAGATCCAGTTAAAAGATACGATGGATGAAGAATAGTAATTCCTTGTTGCATACATAAAACTGTTTAAAATACCCAAAATGTTTAACATAAGGAGTTTGCATAACACAGCAGGACTTTGCTACCATCTTTCACAGTTGCAGTGAACAGCCTGTTGTACAGACCGTATGGTTTAGTTGGTCTTTGTGGGGTCCTCGTGCGCTGCAGGCAGAGGAGAGAAAAAGAAACACACACAGTATAACTTGAGCAATATCCAGGGAAGGTTTGACTATATGTGTACTGGAACTGATGCTGATTTTAACTCTTTTAAATGGTCTAGAAGCAAAATTGAACAGATCCCTGCAACAGTGAGTAAAGAGTGATTTCACTGAAACTCCAAAGAAATGTTTACTGCACTAAGAATTTTATCTTCAAATAACAAATATTCCAGGAAAATAAAATACCATTTTAAAAGAGTAAAGACAGTGTACTTATTCCTCCTCAGTAAAACCAGCACAGAAGTTTTGTACAAAAGGCTGTATTCAATGACTTGGTAAAGTATTTTAAATAACTTAATGTTTTCAGGAGCATGTCTAATTGGTCAAGATGGAAACCTGTTCAAATATCTTTTGGATTATCTTCATGGAGAAATTCAGATTCCTGAAGATGAAAAAGTTAGAACTGCACTGCAGGAGGAAGCAGATTATTTTGGAATCCCTTATCCATACAGTCTGTCTGATCATTTGGCTAATGAAATGGAAATACACTCTTCAAGGTCCCATATAGAGCTTAAAAAGGTCCTGACATTTCTTAAAATATTTGATGCTGAACTCTCCAACCCATGCCATTCTTTAGCATCAAATACTAAAACTATAGAATGTCCAAGTTAGCACATCTTAGTGACTGCACTAAATCATGAATTAATTAAGAGTTTTAGGTTAAGAAATCCTAGAGTTGATAATGCAGTCGGTATAATTAAGGACACCAGCTTTTACCATCATTGCAATACAGCAACAGTTTAAATGTGAGTGTTGTACATGCAAGTCTGCTGTAGAACTTGTGTAGTAGGAAGGAAATTTAGTTTCCTATTTGGCTTCAAATCTTACTTGAAATTAGATTTGATCCCGTCAAGTTGTTTGGGATGGGGTTTCTTTTTCAGTTTTACAAATTATTCCTAAAACTTGTAAGACAAAATGTACTCTGACATTTCTTTAGAATGAGAAAGGAGAAAAGATAATTAGCGTATTATTTGAAATCCTAAGGTTTTAGAGTATTGTAACTTAAAAGCTAATTCTAATCATCTGGCAGGAAATTAACTCATACTACCAGCTCTGGCTGTGTTATTCCTGACAGTCATCTATGTTCTCTTAGCAAGTTGTCTCTGTATTTCACATTCTCCCTTACTCATTTCCTTTTGAAAAGTGTAAAACAATTCCAGGCCTTTTCATTTCTCTGCATGTTAGGGAGCTGCCTTGCCTTTAACTATTTCTGTTGCCTTTCTGAACCTCTTAGTTTCACACCATTCTCTGGTAACATCAGGTAAGAAATAACTGCAGACGTTATCCTAGAAAAACTATATCCTTGATTTACTTAAAAGAACTCACTGGTACAGTTAAGAAAACTTAAATAGAAAAGCTTATTCAACTAAAAATACTGTATTCTTATTAATATTCTATATGTTTTGTATTTTTTCTAGGCTTTGTTGGATTTCTGTGATTCTTACAATTTAGTTTGCACCAAGCCAACAGTTTGGCTCCTGCACTGTCTCAACACTTCTGGAGCAAGCTGTGAAAGTAAAATTATTGGTATGTATGCCACAAGAGCTGATGGGACTGATTCAATTAATAAGGCACTAGGAATGAAAATTCATGGTAAAAGCATGTACAAATGTAAGGTGACTGTCAAACATGAAAGCACTATGAAGTGAGAATAAATACATATTATAACTATGCCTAAATATTATCATATGTAGCATAATGCAGTATTATTGTACTATAAATCTGTGGAAGGAATCTTTCCAGCTCCCAAAGCAGCTGGATAATAGAATGGCCACATTAAACAAATAAACAAGATAAAAACTAAACTTGGGAGGTTAAGAATTTGAGAGAGTACACACAAGGTGGTCAGCATGCAGTTGCTGTAAATTCTTATTCTGCTTAATATTTAAAAATACAATTAAAACAACAATTAAAAATTACTTTCTAATATTTAAACTAAATACGGTGAATAAATCCCCATACAGAAAAACTTCTAGAAATATTTGCAAAGTTGGTTGTGATTCATGCACTTCTTTTGTGCAGTCTTCTAAGATAGCTGAACACTGAAAACCAAAGATGAAAGGAAATGGCTTTAATTCTTTAAAGAACGTGTACAGCTGTACTGCACTATTAATGGATTTACATGGCAGTAATTGGAAATTATTGGCAGACCTGTACTTACAACTGGAAGCAGTTGGTCTTTGTCACTGTCACAGCGCAGTATCAGAAGTGTCACTGCTCATCTTTTGATTAAGATAGAGCTCTTGATGCTTCATCATCTTTATAATTAGGATGCATATCTTCCTAAATTTAGGCTGGGAACATTAATATTTATTCCAGTGGTATTTGGCAACATATGAGGTATCTGTTCTCCTACTGTATATTCTAGAAAAATAGGTTTTACATAATTAATTCTGTAATTATTCTTCTATGAACATCTATCCTTTCATGAATATCCAATTTTAGCAATAGGCATTCACAGGAGGATTAGAACCTCTTATTTGAATAAAAAAAAATCAGAGTAACATTTTCCTTATGCTTTATAAAACATTTACTGCTAAGTCCTTATAGTTAGGATTTAGTAAAAAGAATGATATATTTCACCAATGGTACATTTCTAAGGACTTAGCCAACTAATCACATAACTGTTACCTTTAAAATAATATTCCTAGAGAAGCTGGAAATAACATCCAATACATCTGGAGCTATTACTCAGTAGCTGAGCTGAAAAAGATGATGGATGCTTTTGATGCCTGCAAAGGGAGAGGTAGAGTAATAATTTTTGATTTCAGTATTACTACTTTTTAACATAAAAATAAGAAAAAATATTTGCCAACTAAGTATAATAAAAACCTCTGCATAAACTTTCATAACACTGTAAAATAGTTGTGCCTCTTTGGAGGGAAGAAAATGTTTTATGGGATGTTGCAGAGAGGGGACAGAAATTGACATGAATGAAGCACCATGCTGGCTGTCAGCAATGCTCATGTCAGCAGGTTGAGAGCTTAAATTCTGCATAATAAAATACACATATTCATGTATTTAGTCAGGTGTAAATATGCATGGCTGTGTTCTCTCAGCTCATCAGTACAATGCTGCTATGAAATGCAGGTGTCAGCTACTGCAGAGTGCCTCAGGAGCTGATTGAATGTCAGACTCTGGAAGAATGCCCCCGAGAGTCAGTTTGCACCATATGCCTCCAGTTTATCAAAGGTACACTGGTTTGCATAGGTGGTGTAAAATTAATTAACAAATACAGTGCCATCTTTTTTTTTTCCCCTCTATAATTTCAGGTTTCTTAAATATCTATGCATGTTGAGATTTCTCTTTTTTTTTTTTTAATTTACATTTTTATAAAACGTCAAATAGTTGTTAATTGCACAACTGAACTCGCTAGAAAAAATTTATGGGCTTTTTTTAGGCTGGTGAGATTCCTCAGCAGCCTGGCAAGGAGTAACTTGAAAAGCCAGAGAGCAGTATTAGTTAAATGGACTGCTAAACCAGAAATTTAAATGAAAACTTTAAAAGGTTAACTGATTTTCATAACTTGGAGATGTATTCTTTTAAAAGGCATTTCTAGAACTTCCTCTCTGCAGTTTTATGGTGATATTTGTGATTACACCTCCATTCTCCACATGTTACCTAAAAGCAGCATTTTGCTGGCACAGTCACCTGAGCCAGCCTACAGCCACTTCAGTGCTCCAGTTTTTAATGTGTCATCTAAGAGAGGCAGAAGAGATTGATGGTTCTAGTCACAGAAAGGCAGCCCTGATTGTAGTGATGAACTGTTGGGAGCACTAATTTATGCTTCTTACAGTATCATTTAAATCTATTTGTGAAAGGCTGTTGCAGATGGTCTGTTTTGTAATAATGTTATAAAAATAACAATTTACATATATGGTTCATTTTTTAAAATTGAAGTTCTTTGTTTTACAGATGATTAATTGACTGTACTGAAGTAGAAAGCGGTTTACCATGTAAAGTAGGTCTCCAGCCAATTAAATTCTCAGGTCCCTCAACAAGTACCCCCATAAAAGTCAAGAATTCATCTTCATTAAAGATAGCTGCTTGCAATGCTTCACATTCTGCAGCAATTCTTATATGACCCCATAGTGAAAGTCTGATGCTGCACAAAGGAGTTCCTCAAACCACTCCACAACATGCACACCAGTGCCCAGCAAGTCCCAGGCTCCCTGAGGAAGGCAGAGTGCTGGCAATGGGCCACTGAGCCAAATGCCATTCCAGCTGCAGGGAGTAAGAAGCCTGTGAACAACCGTGCAGTGAAGGTGAAAAGGACTCTGCTTTTCTTGAGACACCATCTCAGCCACCACCTTCTACATCCAGTAAAACAAGTGAACAGGACTGTGCTGAAATTCCTGCAGTGCTAAACAAGAAAGAGCCAGCTTTCTGTATTAGCAGAAAGTAATACCCTTAAGAATGATAAAGGGGGTAATGTTTGACTCAGTCTGATAGACTGGACAGCTCTACATTATATGGTTGAAGAAGAGGTCATTATCTCATGTGATCCTTTATTCAAGATGAGGTAGAAAATTGTGCTGAAAAAGATAATGAAAAGCACAGGAAGAAATTGTTTTAAGAGTACTGAAATGTGTTTTCTGCTTTATTTCTAGATATTTTTAGCTGTTGGTAAGGGAGGAAGAAAAATGGATTAAAAAATCACTCAAGCACATGCAGCTTAACTTTCCAGTAACTCCCATTTGTATTTCATTGCGCTGTCCTGTAAAGTGCATATTTGCACAGCATAAAAGAAAACCTCTTTATCAATTTTAACTACAGTGAACCTCAGTTTGTACCTTTAAAGGGGGGAAGGGGGCAGAAAGGGGGAAGAAAAGTAAGTAGCTTTTATCAGATAGAAGTTTGCCACAAGTGTACAACATATGAGTGCTGCAGAGAGCACCAGAAGTTGAATGCACTTTCTGGCACTTCTGGTGAGGGTAAATCACCATTTTTGCTCTTAATAGCAATGCAAGGGATCACCTGTGCTTGTACACTGAAAGAAAATTCAGAAACACAGGAAGGGAAGAAGTGTGCTGTATCAGTAACAAGGCTGCTCTCTTCGGAGAGACACCCATTTACAGACACAAACAATACTATGGTGTGATCAGCCACTGGGGTGAGGCTGGTGCAGCTGTGGCATTTTGTGTCACACTGCTAGGGGATGGCTTTTCTGGGGCTGCAGGGTCTGAGTTACACCTGGCCTTCCATGTCCTTCTGCAGGTCCTTTCAGATCAGGAGGGCACGACCTCAACTTGTGTGCAGCAAAGCACAGAAGTTGAGGTCAAAGTGCCGTGGTTTAAAGAAAAAGCCTCTCTCCTTCCCCCCGTGCAGGCTGGAGGAGACATTCTTGTAGCAGGGCAAATGTTGAATAATGATACTGAAACAAAGAGCTGCTGTATGTTTCTATCAGCAGAGGAAAGGCAAGTTTGGATCGTTGATTTTCAAGAGCCCTTTTAGCTGTTTAAATCAGTGAACAAAACCTGGCTTTGTTCTGTACCCTTGCTAAGAGTTGGGTGCTGGTTTTTTTTTTGCTGTTTTTATGACTACTTTTGCTTCTCCAGCACAGTAAATACAGCTGTCTTTAAGAACATTGCCAAAAAGCAAGTTCTTAAAATTCCTGAGACTATTAGAATTACAGAAGGGTTCTTTAAACGTTTTATTTGCTAGAACATTTAAAGCCATCACATTTTCAGGTTTTAGAACTTCAAGGACTTGAAACATAATTTGCACAAGTAAAAAGCCCCAAATACTTCTGTATTAACATGAGACATTTTGCCATAAACAGTAGCGACTATAAAGGTGTAGAGCGCTATAATTTTCTGCTATTGGTGTGTATATGGAAGACCAGCTGACCTTTAGATTATTTAAGCTAGTGTTTTTTCTTTAAAAATAAACCTGAAGATCAACAATCCCAAGGCTCTTCCTATCTCAACAAAAAAAGTTTCACTGAACAAAGGACAAAGCAGAAATTATGGAAGGATACTAACATAATGTACTCTAGTATTCTTTGATCATTTGAGACTAAATTTGTGAAATTTATTTTTCATAATAATCTGACTGAAAACCAGTTTTTAATACTTCTGTGTGATTTCTACTTCACTATTTATTCAATATCTGAGCACTTTACCATGCACCTTAAAATATTTTTACAAGGCTGTCTAAAGCTGATTTCTTTCAACTTTTGAATTTAGGAAGCTTCTATAAACATGGAATCAGAGAATATAATTTAAGTAATAAAAGGCATACAAGAAAAAGCATTGAGAACATTTCTACAGGACTTTGAGTTTGTACTACCTCAGTGTTTACTTAATTATTTTGGTAGTATTTTTCAAGTAACATTTGTGCCATTTGCATTACAGCAGCATTAATGAGTCTTCTCTTTGTCGTGGACATACTAGCTTGTGGTTAAATGAATAAAAACCAACCCCCTTGAATTTCAGTAGATGAAATGAGAAAGTGGCTGTGGTGAAGAAGGTAAAGAAAGAAGGACTTGATTTTATTTATTTTCAATTGGATGGGGTGCTAACATGGCCTTTTAGCTTATCTAAGTAGGCACTTCCAGCATGTTTTTTATATTATAGAATCTTGTTCACTTTTGATTAACTGCTAAGAGTGATATTGAAGCATTTTATAATAGATGGATAGCATTAACTTTCATGGTGACTGGAACTAGATGCACTGCCAAGTGGTGTGACAATGGTTTACTTTAAATCTTTGTGAAATTATAAATCATTATAGCAGAGATCATGTTAAAAAAGAAGTGCTCAGCAAATTATTCCAATTCCAGAATAATTAGGTTTTCTTTAAAGGAGACATTTTCAAGCACATTAAGGTGCTGGATTTTTTATCTTTTCTTTTTTTCCCAAACATGGTTAACTAATGTAAGTTTTCCAAAGAGCTTGACTGCATTAAGTTACCTTCACTTTTTAGTTTTCCAGCTGTGTATGTAGATCTTTATTTTGCTGAGTTCTGTCCTTACACTGAATTTAATCTTACACAAAAGATAAATAGACTCAACCTGCTTTAAAATACTGCCTCTTTAAGATGTGTTTCCATTTCTGGAAGAGCACTAAGTGCAGTGGGAATTCCATGTTTGTGTTCGAGTGAGGCCAAACAGCTGTATTTGCTCTGCTAATTGAGGGGACTTTATATGAAAGAGGACTGGCCTGGCAGGAAAGCCTTGTCCTGTCATAAATTCCTTTACTGCCCCTCAACAAGTCCCTTAAAAGGAGAATTGCAGGTAGTTGTCTCTGCAATGAGAAGATAAAAACAGTTTTGTTGAAGATGGGCCCAAGAGCTTTTGGCTACTTGTAACTACCATGAAATTGGCAGATATAATTCCAAGTATACAGAAACCCATGAAATGAAAGATGAAGATTCTGACACAGTTCCAGAGCACAGTCACAAAATATGGTTAAAATGTGCATTGGAATAACCTTCCCAAACCAGAGCAGACACTAGACAAAACTTGGTGTGCTAAAACTGCAGCATTCCCACAAGCAGCCCTCTCTACAGCCTTACCAAACCCATACACTGCTCTTTAACAAAAAAGATGTCTTTATATCATCAGAAAAAAGAGAAATGCCATTTCTCACCTGTTAGTCCTGGATCTGTCTGTACTGAGCCTCCAGTACATCAAAGCTTGGCTGGTACTGAAGAGCACAAGATCGTCCTGTTGTGCTGAGTTATGACTTATGTTACAGATTTTATTTATTTATCTGTAGAAGGTCACTTGTGAGAAACTGACTTAAGGAATAAAGTAACTTTCAATAATGCAATAATCAAGTGTAGAAGCTATAAGAAAGGAATAAATGTTGTTACAGGTAAGTTAGATTTTCTTTTTCTTTAGGAAAGATTACAAGAAGAGACACATTTCACAACTTAGATATAGATAAGAAGTTCCTGTGTAATATCTGCATAAAATTTATAATTAAATCTCTTAGACTGAGGTTACAGTGAAACTGTAAGGCAGCAGATAAATTTTGAAAAGCTACCTATCTGATGGGTATGCACAACAGAGATTCTGGAATTTCAGTTCCACCTGCTCCAAAACATTAATCTTAAAAATGTAATAGGTAATTATCTAGGATAATAGCAGTGCTTGCAGGGCTAAGAAAACCAATGTCTACCTACACGTTTATTTTTCTTTCACCACTCTTGCAGATGACAATGAGTTACTGGCCTTTTAAAATCAGGTTTTACCAATATTCACATGTGGGACACGGTATATGCATATAAATAAAAATAAAAATATGGGAATGCACTTCACTCTTCCCTTGGAGATTATTTTTCAAAGGCCCCAGAGGGGAATAATCCAGTCAGTACTAAGGAAGTGTACAGTCAGAGAACAGAAATTAGGCAGAGGAAATAGTAAAAAGCAATAGTGAACAATCACCTAGGTGTAAACTTTTAAAGCTACTTAAGTGTCCTCCTGCTCTTACTGACCTTTAACACCTTTCTGATTCTGACACTTAGGCCAACAGGTCACTTGACGCCAGCTTTGGATTCTGACACCTTACAATGTTAAACAGTAACTTCCTGTAAAATGTGCTCAGCATGGAGGTGGTTCTCATGGCAAGGCTGTGGCATTAGAATCAAGCTAGAAGCAAAAGCCTAGTCCAGTCCAAACTCAGCTGAAAGCCTCCCACTGATACCACTTCCACTACGCAAATACAATTTGAGTAAGAGCACAGGTTAGGCACTGCAAAGCAGCAAACACCAGAGTATTTTAGAAAGAAGATTTTAATTATTTGGAAGAAACAGGTTTTCTGAAATACAGAATCAGAACATAAAGACTAAGTAATTTATTAGTCATAGCTCTTGTTATGGACAGATGGTTCCTACAGCAAAAATATAGAAAAATAATTTGAATTCAAGTCTAGAAGACCTGCAACTTTTCATATGCAAAAAATAAATCCAACTAGTCATAGAAAAGTGGCTGATAAGGATGGAGAACAGGGCTGTGCATCTGAATAGCCGTTACTATATACATTCCAAACTTAAATGAGCATATTTCCTCAGCCTCATAAAAATAGTTTGTCCATGAAAAATACCAATATGTAATACATTTAATACAATTTATACTTG